TTCGAACCGTTGACCTTAAGGTTCGCAGCCCGATTCGTAACCACTACGCTACCAGAGCTCCTTGAAGAAGTTGGTAGAGTTCTTCAATTTCATCATCACTCGCTTTAGCAGTTCTTGTGTAAGTTTGAATACTAGTACTAACTGATCTGTCTTGTAGCTGTATGGATATTATCCAATCACAGACTGCATTGTACTTCAAGATGCGTCTTCAAAAGCTCTTTTTGACAGTGAATGCAACACCATTCCTCTTCAATTTTTCATTTCCAACTTAGCAAACAATATGATTTTCTGAATCAAAATGGCCAGTACCTGTCCATTTCAGCTCACCTAGTGCCTAGGATATCTATCTTTTATGTATTACATTTCATTTTTGAAGATTTCCATTTTTCTTAGATTCATAATTTCATACATTGCATTTCCAGTTACTAATGGATATTTGCAGATGTTCTTCTCATTTTGAGTTGTGCCCCATCAGCAAATGAAGAGCTCCAAAGCTCTGTTCCTTCCACGTCATTAAAGTCAACTCGCCTTTGAGGAGGCAGATCTTTCCTAGTTGTATTTTGAGTGCCTTCCAACCTGAAGGGCTCATCTTTTTGGCACTTTGTCACAGCAGTATTCTGCTGCTTATTCATAAGGTATTCAGTGGCTACGCATTCATAGTCCTGATGTGGGGCTGTGAGTTAATGCACTAGACTGCAGTCAGTTTAAACTGCGAGGTTGGCAATTCAAGCTCATGAGATTCAAACTCTTAAGGTTTTAAGTGGCTAATCATTCAGAGTCCTGATGTGGTGCGCTGGACTGCAAAGTCAGTTTGAGCTGCAAGGTCAGCGGTTCAAGCTCACCAGCTGCTCCTTACAGGGTCACTATGGGTCAGAACCAACTCGATGGTACTTACCAGTAACAACAACAACAATCGTTCCAAAGTGGTCCACCTCTTCTTTCTTGTCGGTCTTCGTCTGGAAGCTCAGCTGAAACCTGTCCACCGTGGATGACCCCGCTGCCGTTGAAAACATCACAGCTTCCAGCAGCACACAGTACACAAGCCTGCAAAGACCAACTAACAGATGACATACTCGTTAGATGCCATCAAGTTGGTTCCAACTCATAGCAACTCTATGCACACCAGAATGCGCAATGCCCGGGCCTGTGCCGTCCACAGTCGCTGTCAGCTTAAGGCCATTGCTGCGCCACACTGTCAGCCCATCTCGTTGGGGGTCTTCCTCTTTTTCACTGACCCTCCACTTTACCAAGCATAATGGCCTTTTCCAGGTGCTTAGGTCCCTACTAATGACATGTCCAAAATACGAGAGATGAAGTCTCGCTATCCTGGCTTCTAAGAAGCAAGCATTCGGGCTGCACTTCTTCCAAGACAGATTCGTTTGTTCCTTTGGTAGTTTGTGGAACTTTTAATATTCTTCTCCAACACCATAACTCAAATGCATCAATTCTTCCATGGTCTTCCTTATTCTATTTATATACTTTCAATTGTTGTTGTTGTGAAGTGCTATTGAGTCAGTTCTGACCCATAGCGACCCTGTATAGGGTTTCCAAGGAGCAGCTGGTGAGCTTGAATCACTCAGCTTGCGGTTCAAACCGACTTTGCAGTCTAACGCACTAACGCACTAACGCACAGCGCCACACCAGGACTGCATACTTGCAATATACAGCTGAAAAAATTTTAAGTTCCATTAAAATATCACCAAGGTTTCTAGATGGCACAAACGATTTGCTCTTCACTGCTATAAGGGAGCACCTGCGGCATTGTGAGTTAGGTGTTAGGCTGTTAACTACCTAAAGTCAGCAGTTCAAACCCACCAGCCGTTCCATGGGAAAAAGATGAGGCGTCTGTGCTTGTGTAAAGATTTCATTTCCAAAGCCCTATATGTGGTTGCTGTGAGTTGGAATCGATGTGATGGAAATGAGTTTGGTTTCGTTTGGTAGTGCAGTGCTTACGAATCGGGCTGTTAACCTCAGGGTCAGCAGTTTGAAACTACCAGCTGTTCAGCGAGAAAAGAGGAGGCTTTCCACTTTCGTAAAGATTTACAGCCTCTGAAACCCTGTGCAGGGTCACTGTGAGTCGGCACCGACTCCACGGCACAGAACAACAACAACAACAGAGGTATTGCAGAAGAAAAGGCCCGGCAGTGTGCTTCTGTGACGATAACACGTGTCTTCATGAGTCAGACTGTAAACTGGCAGGGCTAGTAACATCAGTGTCAGAACGTGAATCTGTGTAACTGCACAGAGAACAAGACCAGGATCAGCCTAGAGCTGGTCCCTGTGAGGTGAAGGTTGGACAGACCTCTCTCGCCAACCTTTTTCTGACACCGGCTTTCCTTCCCAGAGCACTGTCTTCTTCCTGTTGAGTTTAATAATCCACTGCCATGAGCAACCATACACCACTCACAGACCGTACTAATAGTTACATGGCTTATTAAGGAACGGGGTCCAACTCAGGAATCAGGACCAGGAACGCTGTAAGTGAAGTCTCCCTTCTTTAGTTCGGGACAGCTCCTTTAGGTAGGACAGGCTCCTCATGGTCCTACTGTCTGTCAGTTCTGCTCTCTGTCGCCACTGGCTCTGCTAACAGGCCCCTTCTGGACCTCGAACTCACCAGTGTTCTGGCTGCTTGAGGTAACCCTGTGCCTTCTCGGTCTGTATGTCTGTCTCGCTGGTTCTTTATCTCTCCCTATCTTCTTCTCTGTCTCTCAATTGCCTGCTTTTTTCCGCTTTCTTCCTTTCGCTTCTCTTCTTGCTTCTTTCTGTCTCCCAAACCTCTGTGCAGTTGGCGGCTTAGATCTATAAGCTTTTTGTAAATTTCAAGACATGGCCCTCCCACTAAAGCCATGAACGGACCAATCCCCTTTCAGTAGGCACAGATACTTCATTTGCATAGTAGCCCTGGCTGGGCTACAACTCACCTCATTTGCATTGTCCCTAGACCAGTACTTGTAAAGTAAGCTGCAGCTGAAGACCAGGCAGAAAGTATCAAACCAAGTTGTTTACAACTCCCCCAGGAAATGTCCATCAATCTGGAAAAAATAATAAACCCTCTGGGGTAGAGAAATAGGGCAAAGGTAACACTCTCAGGCATTAAGGGAAAAAAGCCCTCAAACTGGTTTTCCAAAGCACTAAGGCAAAACACCATATAAGGAACTCATTTCACCTTAGCAACTAGCAACTGAGACAAAATAGCCCAGAACCTTGAAATATGTCTGTATTACTAGATAACTGAAAACCATGAATCAATGCTATAACTGTCAAAGCACTGAGAGGAAGAAAACACCTAAATCAGTGTGTTCATGGACTAAAAGACTCAGTCATTTTATGGGATCAGTTAGCCCATCATTGGCAATGTAACCCCAACCAAAGTCCCAATAGCTTTTTAAAATTATTTTTACGTTGACAAGCTGATTCTAAAAGGCAGAAAAGCAAAGAGCTAGCCTAACCCAAACAATCTTTAAACAGAACAAACTTGGACAATTCACTCTAACTGATTTAAAACTTACTGCTGAGGTGTGCCTGACCCCAGCCATGGTGTTTTCAATCACCTCATGTACATGTGAAAGCTGGACAGTGAATAAGGAAGACGGTAGAAATATAGATGCTTTTGAGTTATGGTGTTGGAGGAGAATACAGAAAGTGCCACGGACTGCCAAAAGAACCAATAGATCCATTTTGGAAAAAGTGCAGCCAGAGTGCTCCTTAGAGGCCAAGATGGCCAAACTTCATCTCTCATGCTTTGGACATATTGTTAGAAGAGACCAGTCGCTGGAGAAGGATATCATGTTTGATAAGGTGAAGGGTCAGAGAAAAAGAGGAAGACCCCCAACGAGACGGATTGGCAAAGTGGCAGCATCGATGGACTCAAGCGTGGCAACGTAGTGAGGTTGGCCCAGGATCGGGCAGTGTTTGGTTCTGCTGTACATAAAGTCTCTATGAGTAGGTACCAACTCGATGGCACCTAACAACATGGAGCCCTGCAGTCCTGGTGTGGCGCTGTGGGTTAATGCGCCAGACTGCAAAGCCATTTGAACTGCAAGGTTGGTGGGTCAAGCTCACCAGCTGCTCCTCGGAAACTCTATACAGGGTTGCTCTGGGTCAGAACCAACTCGATGGCACTTCACCACAACATGGAGCTCTGGTGGTGCTGTAGGGTAAGATTTGCCATCTCAGAAGCCGTCTACAGGGTGTCTGTGAGTTGGAACAGACTCAGTAGCAGTGGGTTTTGTTGTGCTACAAAGGGGACACAGACATTTTTGGAGGGTGATGAAACTGTCTGTGTCCTGACTGGTGATGGACACACCAGTTGTATGCATTTACCAAATTTCATATAGTAGTGTAATCAAAATTTGCTTGTTAAGTGCCATCGAGTTGATTCCGACCCATAGCAACCCTGTATAGGGTTTCTGAGGAGCGGCTGGTGAGCTTGAACCGCTGACCTTGCGGTCCAGCGCATTAACCCACAGTTCCACACCAGGACTACTTGGGAAGCTGAACTTATTGTATGTAAATTATACTTTAATAACCCAGAGGTCCTTCTCAGCCTGCTGTCCGCCACTCTCTCCTGCTGTGTCCACTTTTCCCTGCAGCTTTTTGCCCATCAGCTTCTTCTACAAAGATTATTTTCTTTGTAGAAGAATGGATGAGTGATTGGAACTTTGTAGAAGAATGGATGAGTGATTGGAACATTACTATAGCCCTTCATCCCTATGGCCACCTCCTTCCCCAACGAACACATGCGTGCATGCATGCACACACATGTAAGCCCACCAGGTGGGTTTTCTCTGGGCCGACTTCCAGGAGGGAGAGCCTGGGCCAGCCCCCACCTCCACAGCAGAGCTGTCATTCTGCGCCATCCTCAGTGCCCACACCTGCCACTCCCTCCCACCACAGCTCTGTGATGGTTTCTGTGATGGTTTCTCTGTGATGGTTTCTCTCTGTGATGGTTTCTGCAGTAGAGGCCATAGGAAACCTTCTAATGCCTGTCTCTGTCCCAGCCGGAACGAAGCAACACCAGTGTGATGCAGAGCTGAGGAAGGAGATAGCCTCTGTGTGGGCCACCCTGCCCCAGAAGACCCTGGACCTGTTGGTGCCACCCCATAGACGTGAGTTGGTGCCTGCAAATGCCCCACCCTCACCTGTCCCAAGACTGGCTGAGTGTCAAGGGGTGGGGGGAGGGGCAAGTGAAGCCCCCCATCTAGCATGGCTGATGCAGAGGAGCTCACTGGAGATGCCAGAAAGGATGAGATGCTTACCGGTGAAAAGTCTGGCTCCACTTTTGGGGGAGGAGACTGAGGTGTAGACCTCTTGGGCAGCTGGAGCAGGACAGCTGGGGGAACCTTGCAGTGGGCTCACCTGGTCCACCTCTTTCCGCCCCTCTCTCCAGCTGATGAGATGACAGTGGGAAAAGTCTACGCAGCGCTGATGATATTTGACTTTTACAAACAGAACAAAACCACCAGAGACCAGATTCACCAAGCCCCTGGAGGCCTGTCCCAGGTACCCGGTTCTGGGGTTCCCAGGGGTAGCTTGGCAGTGGTGGAAGCCAGCAGCCCTTCCTGGAGAAGGATGAGGTGAGCCCCTTACAGCCACCTCTCTGCCCTCACAGGCTTGGTGCTGATGGTAGAGCACTAGGATTGAGGGTCAGGGGTGGTGAGTAAGAGAACAAGTGTGAAGACTACCTCAGCAGGGCTGTGTGGGGAGGTCAAAGGTGACCGTAAGCATCTGGGGTGGTTTAGGGGTCAGACTTCTTGATGTCATCTCAGGTATCCCTTCATAAGCCTTGTCTTTCTTCTAGCGGCTGATGCAGATTCTCTTTAGAGACAGATCTCTAGAGTTTCATAACTTAAAGGGACAACCGCCTAACCTTGGGATAGGAACTATCGGCACTCATGCCACCACCTCCATTTCCACATCTGATGCAGACATCACTAATCCATCATAGCAATCTCCCCAGCTCTGCAATCTCAGGATCCTCTAGCCGGTCTCTACCAGTCAGTTCAAGTTGTGATAAGAAATCTCTTTACCCTCTGTGATCTAGTCCACTCTCCGGCTTTGTAGAGACTGTTTTTGAGAAGTAGACTGGCGTTCCTGAATCCACTTTCTTGCAAAGTTGGGAGCAGACACCTTGAGAGTCTCCTGCCCCTTGCCTGCCTCACCCTCTGGTCTGCGAGGGTGTGGCCTCCTTAGGCCCTGTTTTCCTCATGGAACAAAGACCTCAGGTGCTGGCTTTGGATCAGATCTGAGACTGAGCTGTGCGGTGGGAGGTCCATCCCAGCCCTTCACTTCTTCCTCTTCATTTGCCCCCTTTGCAGATGGGTCCCGTACCCCTCTTCCACCCTCTGAAAGTCACCCTGGAGCAGACACAGCCAGCGGTGCTCCGAGGAGCCAGAGTTTTCCTTCGGCAGAAGAGCTCCGTCTCCCTCAGCAATGGTGGGGCTGTGTGAGTACCCCGACTGCAAGGTGGACTTGGGGGTGTAACCCCAGGGGGGTGGAGGGAAGAAGCCTATGTCCCCTCCTTGACCTGTCTGGCTCAGCCTTCTCTTTGCACTGGTCCAGGACACGGAGCCCAGAGCCAGTCACAGGCTGCCAGGGACTGGCTCCACCCTCAGCCTCACCCCCACCGCACCCATGGGTCATTCAGTCTAGGGAAGTTAGCCAATGCTTACTGCTGCTTGCAGTAATTCCTTTGAATGCTGGACAGTGGGTCTTGTATAAGCTGCCTCTCTGGCAGTTTTGAAACTACTGGTTTAACCATTTGAGACATTCCTAGCTATTACTTCCCACTGTGCACGCTTCGTTGGGTCTTTAAAAAATATGACTTTATTGTGATAAAATATAACATAAAATTTACTATTTCAAGCATTTTTGAATGTACAATTCAGTGACATTATATTCATAATGTGAAACCACTACCGCTATTTCCAAAACATTTTCATCCAAAGAGGAACATCCTACCCGACCCCCAACGACTGACTCATCTACTTACTTTGTCCACAGGGTAGTTTCAAAAAGTTCATGAAAAAATTCCATGTTGCAACGAACTTTGGAAACCCCTTTATATGCAGTTGCCCATTGTAGCTTTTTGATATGAGTTGGGCCCTACAATGTCTGCTCTGTTGTGCCTGACTTAGTTTACTCAGCACATTGTCTTCACTGCATGAGGCACGTGACAGCGTCATCTGCCCTTATGGCTGAATAGCATCCCACTGTATGGGTACGCCTTAGGCTGGCTTCTTTAGAGAAGCAGGCCCAGCACTTCTCAGTGTAAAGAAAACAAACATCCTCACAACTGCACCAATAAAACAACATCCTGATAAGCAGAGAAAAGATGGAAGTGGTCAAGGATTTCATTTTATTTGGATCCACAATTCAACACTCGTGGAAGCAGTTAGCTAAGAAATCAAACGACATATCGCATCAGGCAAATGTGCTGCAAAAAACCTTGCAAAAGTGCCAAAATGTCACTCTGAGGATTAAAGTGTGCCTGAGCCACGCCAGGGTATTTTCAGTCACCCCATATACATGTGGAAGCAATCAGGAAAACTGAGTTAAAACCAGTGCATCTGAATGATGGTGTTGGTAAAGAATATTGAAACTACCATGGATGGCCAGAAGAACAAATAAATCTTATGTTGGAAGAAGTGTAGTCAGAAGGCTTCTTACAAGTAGGATGGCAACACTTCGTTTCCTGTACTTTGGACATATTATCAGGAAGGACCAGTATCTAGAGAAGGACATCAAGCTTATTAAAGTAGTGGGTCAGCAAAAAAGAGGAAGATCCTCAGTGCAATGGATTTGCGCAATGGCTGTACCAATGGGCCCAAACATAGCAATGATTGTGGGATTGTTACAGGACTGGGCAGTGTTTCTTTGTGTTGTACATAGGGTCTGCATTTGTTGGAACTGACTCCAGATGGCACCTAACAACAACAGAGAAAGAGAGAGATTTATCTCAAGGAAATGGCTGACAAAGCTGTAAGAATGCTCAAGTTCCAAATCCATGAGTCAGGTGTCAGGCTGGAGGCTTCTCCTGACTTGTGTGGTTGCAGGGCATGATGAACCTCTGATCAGTCAGTCAGTCAGCCAGATACCCGGCTGCTGACTCACAGGCCTGAAGTAGCCAGACAGTAGGCTGCTGATTCAAGTCTCAAGAACTACTGTCTGCACGTCAGACAGTAGGCTGCTGATTCAAGTCTCAAGAACCAGTGGACAGAAGACGAGTCAGATGCAGGATCCAGAGAGAGAAAGCTATGTTAGAGCTTCAATATATAGACTGGATGTAGGCCATATCCCAAGGAATCTGACTGGCTTTTCAAGTGATTGGTCAGTTGCTTCAGATCATGAAATGGAGGAGGATTGCATTATATTACATTCTGGAAGAGCAATCAGTCCAGTGTCTGCCAAACCATGAAGAATCAGAACTTCCAAGGCGACATATGGCATTAACCATCACAGGATACACACACCACGTTTTGTTTATTGAATTGGTTTTGGTGCCTCAGACCATTAAGAAATTATTTCTTTTCACCCAGAGTTTGGCCTCAGTCTGTTAATGTCTTGTCAGTGTTCTAATCTTCCTAATTCTTTTAAGACATAATTTCCTCTCACATCTCCATTCTTATATTGATTTCTAAAGTTGTATTTTATAGACAAATCGGAAAATCTCTGTATATCAGTTAACTCTCTTGCCTTGATAATTTTGAGCAACTGCCCAAAACTTGGTGTGGTATTGTGGAATAAAGCACTGGACTGCAAGGTCATTTTGAAGCACAAGATTGGCGGTTCAAACTCACCAGACACTCCTTAGAAACCCTATAAACGGCCAATACGAATCAGAAGCGACTCATCGGCACTTAACAACACCCAGAACCAAGTGACTCAAACAGACATCATTTTCTTCTCATCCATGGTTTGCAGGTTGACTGAGGTGTGGTAGGTTGGTGGCAAATTGAGGTTGATTGCGCAGGGGAGTGGAGATGGATTATGGAGGGAGAGGGAGACAGAGGCTCTGCTGGCTTCACGTGGTGTTTGGGGTTCACTCAGCCCTCTTGGACCAGCCTGTGTCCCAGGGTGGGGACACATGAACCCACAGGCACTTGTCTAGCCTTTGCTTGAGTCATATCATGTCTGCAAATATCCCACTGAGAAAAGCTTATCATGGGCTGAGCTTGAAGCAGGTGCATGTACCCTGCCTCTTGGGTCGCTGGTGGGAGAAGAATCACCAACAACTGTCTACTGCCTGAGGCAGGGGCTGCTGCATGGGGAGCAACACTGTGGCTCTGTTTTCTTAGTTTTGTGGGGTTTCTGTGAACCCTCTTTCTGAAGCTTGTTGGTCTAGCCTAGTAGTTCTTATATTATTATTATTGTCTTTAGGTGAAAGTTTACAGTTTCCCCTTCTATCAGTTGTACTTGTGGCGCATTCCCCACAGTGTCTCAGCATCTCCCGTTTCTGCCTTGGCTTTCCTGGTCCCTTTTGTCCAAACCTCCTACCCCTTCCTGTGTTCTTGGATTTGGGGCAGATGTCTTTTGATCTGGAAGAACTGATTGTTTTGAGGAGCGTGTTCCCCTTGGGTGGTGTTTGTTTTATGGACCTGTCTGTTGTCTGGCTGCAAAGTATACTCTGGAAGTGACTTCAGCTCCAGGTCCAAAGGTGTCTTTGGGCCAAAGTCACTGGCTTCCGCCAGCCTCTGTCAGACCAGTGTGTCTGGTTGTTTTTGTGAATTAAATGTTTCCTTCAATCCAACAATATCAGGTTCATTTTCTCTTTTTCGTACTTAATTGCTATGGGTTTAAAATACAGCTGTTGACTATTTATTTTGTCCTTTTTTGGAGGGGTGGTTGTTGTTAAGTACCGTCCAGTTGATTCCGATCCATAGCGACCCTGTATAGGGTTTCTGAGGAGCAGCTGGCGAGCTTGAACTGCCAACCTTGCAGTTCAGATGGCTTTGAAGTCTGGCGCATTAACCCACAGCGCCACATCGGGACTTTGGAGGAGTGGTGGTTATGTGCCGTGGAGTCCTGAGGGTTGGTTTAGTTTAGGGCTAGGGTTAGGAGTAAGGATAAAGGTTGGGTCAGGACTAGGAGTAAGGCTTGGCCTAATTTACAGGGTTACAGCCAGGTTTTTTTGTTTTTATTCATTTATTTATTTTCTGCAAATCAACTTGCTTTCCTCTTCGTTTGGCAGTTCTCTAAGCCCAGTATTCCCCCTTTTACATAATGGTTTTGTCATTGTTATTGCCACAGTCTCTCTGGTTCTGTTTTCAGTGTTGTGGTTCTGTTGTGCTTTGAGTATGTCCGTGTCTGGGTTCAATCTGTGTGAGAATGTCATGTATGTGATTCGCAGGTTGTTGGTTGCAGTTGTTGGTTCTCTGTCCAGAGAATGCCCATTGGCATTTTTTGCAAGGTTGGTTTACTTTTTACAAAATCTTATAATTTCTATTTGTCTGGAAATGACCTACTTTCATCATCATATTTAATGGACAATTTGGCTAGATATAGGATTCTTGGTTAGCATTTTTTCTTTCAGAGTGCTCTATATGTCATTGCTTTTTTTGGTCTTCTTGCAAAAAGCGTTGTTTTTTTTTTTTTTTTCCTGAGCTTTTCTTATGATTCTTTCCTTGTCTTTGGTTTTGAAAAGTTTGATTATGTCTGGGTGTCTTGTGTCTTTCTTTCAGAGTCTATCCTGTTTGGTGTTTGTTCAACTTCTTGAATGAATTCTTGTCTTTCACCAACAACTCTTGGACAATATCCTCTATGGGTTGGTTGTTGTTTTTTGTTGTTGTTGTTATTTTTCTGTGTCTTCCTGTCTGGAATTCTAATCACACATATGTTATTCCTCTTGATAACCTCTCACATAAATCTTAGTCTTTCTTTGGACTTTTTTATTCTTTTTATTTTGTTGTTGTTCCTCTAGCAGATGAGTATTGAGAGATTTTTCTTCAAGCTCAGTAACTCAACCTTTCATTGACTCAATTCTATTTCTGTGCCCTTTCAGTATCTATTTCTGAAATTCTAGTGTTAATTTTTCTGGCTTTCTAATTGCTGTTTCTGTGTGGTTTCTTGTTTTATTCATTTATTTTGTCAGTGTGTTTCCTGAGTTCTTCTAAAGTTTTGTCTATGTTTTCCTTGATTTCATCTGCAGTTTTCCCAGTTATTCTCTTAATCCACTGAAGTTGTCTAATTGTTGTTGTTGTTAAGTGCTGTCGAGTCGGTTCCGACCCATAGTCGGATCCTGAACAGGGTTTCCAAGACTGTAAATCTTTATGGGAGCAGAAAGCCTCATCTTTCTCCCATGGAGCAGCTGGCAGTTTCAAACTGCTGACCTTGTGGTTTGCAGCCCGATTCGTAACCACTACGCTACCAGAGCCATCTTTTAAATTCCTTATCAAGCAGTTCTGGTGGTGTTTTCTGACTCTCTATTGTGATCACTTGTTTGTTTCACTTTTGTCTTGTTTCTTCATGTCAACGTAAATTGCCTGTTTTCTCTGAGACATTTGATAAATGACTTTATGTTGGTGTGTTTTCAGGCACTCACCAGCTGTCTTCCGGTGGATGGGACAGAAAGTATGACCACAGATAGTTCTCGGTGCACAATTTGTGCAGTAGAGTTCAGGGTGGGTTCATGTGTCTCCGGAAGCAGGGCTGCTATGCTCAGCAGCCGACTCCAAGCAGAGCAGAGGATGAGCAGGGGGGGGGTGTGTGTGTGTGTGTGTGTGTGTAACTAACTGCTAGGTGGGTGAGGGCGTGGGAACAAAGGGAGCCCACGATGGCCACACCACTCCCTGCCAGCCTGTAGTCCTGGCTGCTCATGGTCAGCGTCTTATCCCAGCCAGTTGTCAGGACACCTCTCTGTCTTGTCTTCCGATGCTCAGGATTCCGAGACCACCATCTGTATCTGTTCACTCGCTCTCCCAGGTCTTTGGTACAGAGAGGCAGCTCAGTGTGTCTTGTCCGAATCCCTGAAGTTCAGTTTGGGCTCTGTATTTTCCTCCTGCTCTGCCCAGGACCCTGTGTTGTGAGCCCAGTCACAGTATGGATTGTGAAAGCTGGGGACCATCTAGTTCTTCTGGTCACAGAATCCTGGTGACTGTGGTTCATGTACTTCCTGGAGTCTTTGGTTTTCTTTACACTCTTACTTCAGACAGGATGAAATCAATAGTTATGAGCTGTATTTGCAGCCATGAACTATTAACCAGATGGCTTTCTCTGAGTAATAAATTGCTATCAAACTTGCCGGAGCTGAAGAGTCTGGGGCAGCTCCTTCAACTTGTCTCGTGGATGGACACAACTGAATTGCCTGGCCCTGACCCCCAGCGGTCATCTGGACTCAGGCACATGTTGGTACTACAGGGTTCCCAGAGAAGCAGGAGGAGTCCTGGGGGTGGAGAGGAGTCACAGGGGAGGGCACAAGTGGTAGAGAGCCAGAAAAACCCAGGGTGGGGGGTCAAAAGGATAAACTCCCTCCTAAGAAGAGAGCCGCAGCACGGCCGGGGACAGGCCTTTCCGAGCCTCTGGTGGGGGTCCTGTGTTCGCAACTGCCCTTTCTCTTCTTGATTAAAGCCTTATTTCTGAAGTTAAAGTTAAGCGATTGATTCTGAGAGTGTATGTGAGTTGTGAGTATGCTCGTATATGTGAATATGAGATGGATGAGTGAGTGAGCTGTGTGTATGAGGGGTGTGTGTGTGTGTGTGTGAGATGGGTGAGTGTGCTGGAGGGGCAGTGGTGCTGGGTTGCCTTTTGGGATTGATCTGAGTCACTTTTAGTTCAGGAGAATGCACTGAAATATTTCCTTTATTATAGCTTCTAGCTAAACCAGTTACATCTCTATCACAAACAAGAGAACACCCAATCAAAGTGGGCTGGCAAGAGGGGCCTTTCTTGAGTCCTTTGCCTGGCTGCAGACATGGTGCAGTTTCAGGGTCCTCCTATGCACCCCATTCCCTACCCCCAGAGTGGCCTCGCTGTTTGGAAGGACAGATGCTGGCTTTTTTCCCCCCCAGAATTCCCAGTAGCCACTCATCTGGTCTCCGACCTGGCTCTCCAGCCATGGTAGATGCCCACCACAGGATGTGCTAGCCACCTTAGGCCACCAGGCCCCACCTGGGGCTCAGTGGACCAATCTACTCATGCTCCATGTAACAGACATTTACTGAGCACCATGTCCTCAAAACCCCTGGCACACTCGGGTGGTGTGGATGGGAGGTGGGGAGCCAGTCAAATGCAGATAGTAAGAGGATAGTGAGGGGTGGGCAGTCGGGGTTATAGCCAGCAGACATTTGGGCAGAGATTGAAATGACGAAAGGCCTGTTGGGAGTCAAAGTAGGAAGTCCGGGTTAGTTCGGAGAAGACGAGGAGCTGCCAGCAAAGGGCCCTGGAGGGCTGGGGACACTCCAGTCTCCTCAGTTCCAAGGTGCAGGTGACCCACCAAGAGCAAGTGGCCTACATTCCCCTGGTTCGAGGCCACAGAGCAGGTGAAGGTGGGGCCTGCTGCCTCTGGCCAATGTCTTTTCTCTCTTCCACAGACAGGCACAAGGGAGTGTCCTCAAGGAGTCCATCTCCTGGGGCACTCATCGGATCCAGGGACCGTCCTCAGAAGAGCAGACACCCCTGGAGAGGGGTCGTTCTGCGGAGATCCCTGTGGGGGAGCCAGGAAAACCGGTGAGGGCTCCTGGGCCAGCGTAGCCAAGATGTGGGAGGGGCCCTGTGGGGTGATGGGAGAGGTTGCATGGAATGACCCTTATGAGGGAGACTGGGGGCGCCTGTGTGAGGTGGCTTGGCCGGGTGGGGCCCCATGGAAAGGGTGATTGGGAGGGTTATGAGGGGTGACCAGTGTGGCTCCTATCACCCCAGGCTGTAGATGTCCAGATGCAGGACATGGCCTTGAGTGGTCCTGCCAGGGAGCCCCAGCTCGGGCTGGAGCGTCAGGGCCGAGCAGCCTCCATGCCCCGCCTCGCAGCGGAGACACAGGTGTGTGGTCAGTGGGGCAGGCTGCAGAGGGAGGGGACAAGGCCTGGCCCCTCCTGTGGAGCAAGGACTCCATCACCTGCAGGGCTGACCCCATGATCCCCACTGAGCTCCTGTTCTCTAGGGCTGCCCTGTCCTGCTGGCTGCCTTATTTGCTCTCCCTGGGGTCCTAGTTGCAGCCATGAGAAGGCTGTCCTCTCCTGGGCCCCACCCACCTCCTGCTGTCCAGCAAACACACACACGCACACTTGTCTGGGTCCCACCACAAATCCCCGGAGTCAGGCCCCAAGGAGATGACAGGTGGGTGGGCTGCTGGACCTGGTCCTGTGCTCTGGCCTCCCCTCTCTGTCTTGCTGGACCTGCGTGTGTCCTGCTTGCAGCCTGCCCCAGACTCCAGTCCCATGAAGCGCTCCATCTCCACCCTGGCCCCCCAACGGCCCCCCGGGGCCCTGCTGTGCAACGCCACCCTCGACCGGGCCCCTGCCAGCCAGGCTGCACACCATCACCACCACCGCTGCCACCGACGCCGGGAAAGGAAGCAGAAATCCCTGGACAAGGGAGTCAGCCTACCTACAGACCCGGATGGTGCGTAGGGGCAGGGCCAAGCAGTTCTAGGCAGGCACTGGTCTCTGGTCGGAGAAGCCAGCAGGTGGGGTCAAGTGAGGCAGGCAACATGGGGTCTGTCCTGGGGAAAGGGCTGTGGGTCTGGGCCGGTATAACCTCTGCCTGCCCTAAGTCCTGTGCTGATCTTCCCCCCATCCCTGTACTGACCTCTCTCCATCCTTGAGCTGACCTCCCCATCCTTGCACTGATCTCATCTCTGTGTTGGGCTGCCCCATCCCTTTGCTGACCTCTTGTCCCTTCGCTGACCTCTTGTCTCTTTGCTGACTTGGTCCAGTACTGCACTGAGCTCCCTGTCCCTGTTGCTGTACTGACCGGTCCCTGAGTTGCTCTCCCTGTCGTCACCCTGACTTGTCCCCATCCCTACGCTGACCTCATCCCTACACTGACCTCCCTGACCCTGGCCCTGCACTGACCTATCCCTGTTCTTGGGCTGACCCCCATGTCTCTGCCTTCATCCCTGCACTGACCATCTCCATCCCTGCATTGACCTGTTACACTGACCCGCCCCGGTCCCTGTGCTGACCTCTCATCCCTGTGCCGACCTGTCCCCGCCCCTGCGCTGACCCGTCCCCCTGCAGCCCCGGGTCGCGATCGCAGGCAGGAGCGAGGCCGCTCTCAGGAGCGCCGGCAGCATTCGTCCTCGTCCTCCGAGAAGCAGCGTTTCTACTCCTGCGACCGCTTCGGCAGCCGCGAGCCAGCACCGCCCCGGCCCCCGCTGGGCAGCCAACCAACGTCGCCCACCGCCGCGCTGGAGCCAGGGCCCCCCAGACAGGTACGACGGCACTCCGCCCCACCCGAACCCCAACCTGAGCCTGAGCCCCAACCCAAGAGCCAGCGTGTCCCCGCACCTCCCCTCCCGGACATAGGGGACCCAGGCTGGAGCGTCAGCCATGGCCCCCAGCGTCTCCATCCACCCCGGGATCGCCGGGTCTACAATTTGCCCACTCACTGCCTGGGTGGGACCCCAAGCCCTGTCTCCCCGGATCAGACCTAACTCCAACCTTTTCCTCCCCTTCCGGGACTGAGCCCACCCCTTCCCTCCTGGGACTAGACCCCAAAGCTCAGGCTCTCCCCTCCCCTCCGCTCCCTAGCCCACCGGGACCTCACTCTCTGTCTACCCCCATCCGTTTTTCTCGCCTCTCCCTCTCTCTCCCTCCTCCCCGGCCCCTGTGTCTGTCTGTCCATTCCCCTGTAGGGTAGTGGTTCAGTTAATGGGAGCCCCTTGCTGTCAACATCTGGTGCTAGCACCCCAGGCCGAGGAGGTGGGCGGAGACAGCTCCCCCAGACCCCCCTGACCCCCCGACCCAGCATCACCTACAAGACTGCCAACTCCTCCCCCGTTCACTTCGCCGGGGGCCAGAGCAGCCTCCCCGCCTTCTCCCCGGGCCGCCTCAGCCGTGGCCTCTCGGAGCACAACGCACTGCTGCAGAGAGACGCGCTCAGCCAGCCGCTGGCGCCCAGCTCGCGCATCGGCTCCGACCCGTACCTGGGCCAGCGCCTAGACAGCGAGGCCGCCCGGCCCGAGGACACACTCACCTTCGAGGAGGCGGCGGCCACCAACTCGGGCCGCTCCTCTAGGACTTCCTACGTGTCCTCCATGACCTCCCAGCCGCACCCCCTCCGCCGCGTGCCCAACGGCTACCACTGCACGCTGGGGCTCAGCGCGGGCCCCGCGCCGGGCGGTCGGGCGCGCCACAGCTACCACCATCCGGACCAAGACGACTGGTGCTAGCGGGCCCGGAGCCCAGCCCGCACGCCCCGCAGCGCCGTGCGCCTCGCTGATGAGTTTTATCATCCAGGCAGGCCGGTGCGCGGGAGCAAGGCCCTCCGAGGGCGCCGTCCCTACTCCCCGACGAGGCCCAGCTGTGCATGGACGGCAAGAGGGGGCCTGGAGAGGCGACTCGGACACGCCAGGGTGGCCAGCCCCACAGGGACCAACTCTGGGGAATCTTCTCACTGGTGACTGGTTTATAATCACAAGAACCGTCTCTCTTTTGTCATTTCTATATTCTTGGTTTAGAAAAAAGAGAAAACCAGAAAAATGGGCAAGGGAATGGAAACAAATTAAAAACATCACCAACAGAAAGACCTTAACTTTCCTTGTGTGCTTCTGAGGAGACTGCCCCGGCCAGGCGGGTCAGGCGGGTCCGGCAGGGTGGACCTCAGCTGTTGTCTAGACAAGTGCCTGAGCTGACTCCCCACAAGGATCCCCTCCCCCCTCGGGTTCCGACCTCAGAACTCCAGGTGGCCTCAGTGGACATGTCCCCATGCTCTCCTCCCAGGAGTGGACAGGTAGGCGTGGGGTTACTGCCAGGGGAGCCATAGGCCCATTAGTGACCAGGGTGAACGGTTCAGTGAGGGGTTTGAGCCTGCATGGGCAGCAGAGGCGTGAGTGCATGTCCCTTCCACAGGCTGCTGGGTGAGGGCCTTGAGTTAGGACTGAAGGACCCACTAAGCCGCTCAAGCGCAGCTGGAGAGGAAGAGGAAGCCATTAGTCAGGGGTGGTGTCCAGTAACTGAGGCTCAAGGACACAGGTATGGAAGAGCAAGCCCCTTCCCCCCGTCAGACCACTCTCCAAGGAAAGACCGTGTTTGGGATTGAGTACGATGTAGTGAAGTGCACAGAGACCTGTACCGTGGAGCGGTGGAGTACTCCAGTTGAGTCGGGTCTTCTGTGCCCTCCACAATTTGAAGTTTCAGACCATCTCTCTCTGTTGGATGATTTTAATATTTCTATTGGCTTTTAACCCATGGCTCTCCCTAAAGAAATGTGTGTGTGGGGTGTGTGTGTGTGTGTGTGTGTGTGTGTGTGTATGCACTCAGGAGTATAAAGGGTGTGTTTAAGTGGGTTGATGCCATGAAACCCGTAGGGCTATGCAAGAAAAGACACACATTCAGTAGAAATAACACTCGAGGCCACCACCCATTCTGGGTTCAGTACGATTGTGACCAAACCTTTTTATAAATGTTCCTATGTGAAGGCACAGCATCTGAGATTTTGACGATAGGAGAGTATTTCATTCTGATGGGGTCAAATTTAGCAGGGATCTGACTTGCATGTGATCTCTGTGCTCATACTGCAAAGTAGAAGGATGTGTGTTTTGATGATGACTTTTTGTAACCCTCCTCTCCCCCCCACCCCACAACAATGTTATCTTGGGTGTTGGACGTAACCATTCTGTGCAGAGCCACAGTTACTTTCCCGTGTCACCTCACGGGCTTGTCTGGATCCATCAAGATACCAGAATTGGTGAAACCACAGGGAAAAGGGGAGAGGAGATGTTATGTCTGTTTCTCTGACTTTGGGTTTTGTTTCTGTCTCCTCTCGGGCTGCCCTCTTTCCCCTGAAATCCTGTAGTGCGTTGCCAAATTTGAAATGCATCAACCAATTCTCTGCATCTGGAATCAGTCAAGCAGTGGCTGTCGTTAAACAAGTTGTGTGTGCATGTAAAATATATACATATATACATATATACACGTATGTGCATGGAAATGTATATCTTCGTACTTTTGATACAATGTATTCCTTATTTGTTAATTTTTAATTATATTTGATATAAATTGAAAGTTTGTTGCAAAACTTTATATTTAAGAACAGTGTTTAAAAAAAGAGGAGTCCCACCCATGCAAAACAACTGGGACTTACTTAAAAAAAAAAAAAAAATCTGTGATTGGCTAGATTGCTGCCTGAGGAATATTTCAGCCAAACTTTGGATTCCGCTGTTGTTTCTACAATAACATTTTGTATGAAGCAAAGTCCTTGGATTAAAATAAAAACTTAGCAAAAAAAACAAAAAACAAAAACAAACCTCACCAGGCTGCTGGGGACTTGATTTGGCCAACAGTCACAATGACCAGGTCGTCTACGTGGGTCAGCCAGGCCTGGGGTTCTTTGGGAAGTTGGGAGAAAATCAGAACTTCTAGAAACTTGCCTTTGGATCCTGTTGATACCATAAGACTGGGGTCGAGTTTAGAATTAGGGTTTCTGAGTTGACATTGAATAACCCTGAACAATGCCTCATTGGGGTGCTGGTTGGGGATTGGATTAAGTTTCAAGGTAGAATTACAGCTGAAGTTTTCTTAAGGTTGGGTGGGTTGGTAGATGTTGAGTGAAGTTTGGAATAGTTGCAAGAATTTGGGTTCAGTTTTGAGGCTAGAAGTTAGAATTAAGGGTTGTTGTTTGTTGTGGTGTAGTGCCAGAGAGTCAATTCCAACTCATAGCAATTCTGTTTAGGGTTTCTAAGGAGGAGCTGGTGGATATGAACCACTGACCTTGTGGTTAGCAGTCCAGTGCTTATCCTACAGTGTCACATCAGGAGTCGAGGGTTAGAGATGGCTTATGGTTAAGTCTGGGGATGAAGGGATTAGTAGTTACAAATTTGTATTAAGGGTTAAACTAAAGACTAGCACATTTCGGAAGTATTGAAAATGTAGGGTTAGGGTTGTGGTGGTGCCGGCGGCGGCGGCGGCGGTGCTGGTGGTGTGCCATGAAGTTGTTTCGACTCAGAGCGACCCTGCAAGGTTGACGGTTCAATCTCACCAGCCGCTCCTTGGAAACCCTATATGGGGTCGCTTTGTGTCGGAAGTGACACTAACAACAACAACTACATGAGTCGGAACCAACGTCACCACCCTTAAACAATTTCCTGTGTGAGGCTGTAGTGCTACTGGCCACCAGGTGGCAGCAGCCTCTTCTACCAGTGGTGACCCCTGGGCTGGACTGGAGCAACTGGGGCCAGGGCATTGTCCCCCAGAGGCCATTTTGGCGTTCCCCTAACCTTGGACTGGGACCTCCTATTAAGGTGCATCTCCACAACCTGAACGACTCAGAGGTGGGAAGGGAATTTGAGATGCTATCATTTCTGCTAGAGTCCTGGTGTGGTACTGTAAGATAAGCACTGGACTGCTAACCATAAGGCCAACGGTTCAAACCCACCAGCCACTTCTTGGAAACCCTCTACAGGGTCGCTATGAATCAGAACCGACTTGGCAGCACTTAACAACCATCGTTTCTGCTAAAAGAACAAATCAGTAGTAAATATATTTACAAAGTTTCAAGTAATGTCCAATCTGGTATTTGTCAACTGGACATTTGAAAGAAGATGAAACTGAATTGAAATGTATTGTCAATGCAAAACACACTGAATATCAAATAGGATGATGAAAAGAACATAGTGTAGCATTAATTTACCTGTTTAAATGATAGTACTTTGTATTTTTTGGGTTACTTAAATGTATTACTAAAATGGGGCGGGGGGGGGGGGGTGCGGAACGAGAACAAATCAATCTGTTAGAAGAGTACAACCAGAATGCTCCTGAGAAGCCAGGATGGCCAGACTTAGTCTCTTACACTTCGGACCTATTACCAGAGGGACCAGACCAGTCCCTGTAGAAGGACATCATGCTCGGTAAAGTGGAGGGTCAGTGAACTAGAGGAAGACCCCCCAGTGGAATGGCACAGTGGCAGCAGCAGTGGGTTCAATGTTAACAGCGATGATGAGGTTGACACAAGATCCGCAATGTTTCCTTCTATTGTGCATGGGGTCGCTACGAGTCGGAACTGACCGGACCGCACCTAACAAGCACAGCATCATTTCTTCATTCAGCTACAATGCCCTGAGCACTTGCCCTGTGTTAGGGCTGGGAAGTCCTGGGAAAATGACCCATGTGGCCGCTTCCCCCAGGGGCTCACGTTCATGGAGGGGAGAGGAACAAAAGTATGGACACTTAACATGTGAAAGAAAGGAGCAAGCAGGTGCTGTGAAGGAGCCTGACGCCGTGATCAGGACGACAAGAGTGACCAACCAGGTATGGGGACAATGTCAGGGAAAAGACACAATTTCTGCAGAGACTTAGAGACAGAAGGGAGATGCTCACAAAGGAGACTGAGGTCAGAGGTTCAGATCAGTGGCCAGTGTGCCAAGGCGCGCTTGGGAGGAGATGTAAGAGAGAAAGGAGGTACCAGGGTTTGTGGACTGGAAGAGTTATCCACTGTGCTATGACAACATGACCCTAAAACTTAGCAGCTCAAAGCACATGGATGATCTCTCTGTGGACCAGGACTCTCGATATGGCTTAGCTGGAACTTCTGCCTCCAAGTGTCTCAGGAGACTGGACTATTGTCCCAAGTGAGCTCTGTGAGACGATGAGCTTCCAGGCTCACTCCTGTGTTCTGAGCCTCAGACCCTCTCTGTCTGTTGGTTAGGTCCTTCCTTGTCCCTTGTCATATGACCCTCTTCAGAGAGCAGGCTGCAGGTCACTACTACTTCCATGAGGGAGATGGAGAATATGAGAGCTCAGATGAGTTTGTCCTCTCTTACTCTAGAACTGAGTTCCTGAGTCCAGTTCACACACTAAGGGGGGAGGGGGGAGGTGACACAGGATGCACACTAGGAGTTGGGGTTGTTGGTAGGCATTGTGCAAGTTGGCCGCCTCCTAGTCTGAGACAAGGGTCAGGTTCCAAACACAATGGGAAATTATTGGAGGGTTTTATATCTGAGGGTTTTTACTTAATTTCACCCCACCCCCCATGGACACCTGGTGAAACCCTATACTGGGTCACTATGAACGGGAAGCAACTGGGCGGCACTTAACAGCATGTTGCAGACTGGAAATTGATTCCCAGAGGAGGAGTCATTTTGCCAGAACCCAGCCTTGTTCTGAGTTGGACACCCTGCTACTTCTTAAATTCTCCACCGCTAAGTTTGTGGCTGAGTGACACATTTCACAACCC